TTTTTTTTTGAGACAAGAATCTCACTTTATGGCCCTTGTTAGAGTGCTGGGGCATCACAGCTCACAGCAACCTCTAACTGCTGGGCTTAGGCAATTCTCTTGCCTCAGCCTCCCGAGCAGCTGGGACTACAGGTGCCCACTACAATTCCCAGCTATTTTTTATTGCAGTTTGACCAGGGCCAGGTTTGAACCCACCAACCTCAGTATATAAGGCTGGCACCCTACTCACTGAGCCACAGGCGCCTCCCGAGAATAACACAGCCTTAAGAAATTTTGAAAAGTCATTTTTAGGTTTCTTGTTAATCCAATTTTTACCATTTGAGGGTTGGCCTATATAAGGGTAGTAGCATAAAACATAAGAAAAGTAGCCTTTCTTTTCTTACGTTCCTGCCCTGAAATGAGCTTGTAAATTCATAAACCCCTTAAATTATATCAAAGTAACCTAATAGGGTTTATATTTTCCTTATGTGTGAATTGAAATTTTCTGAATTCATGTTAATATCATTCAATCTGGAGTCCACACTGAAAGAAAAAAAGCCACTACAGCAAGTATTATTGCCATAATATTTACTCACATTGGCCTACTATAACAGAGTAAAAAAACAAACAAACAAACAAAAAAGCCTACATGCAGCCCAAATGTCCTGACAGGAACCTGTTTAAAGACTTAACCCACAGAAGAGCTCCCTGGAGCATCTCTCAAAGACCATGGACTCTTACTTTAGTCTCCGGTCTAAAAAGCCATGGCATTTGAAAGAATGGCTAAAAGCATAACAGCCAAAGAAAATGCAGAAAAATGACAAAAAGGAGATTCCAGACATAAGAGCATAATAATCTGGGACCACATTCAGGGTCAAATCGGAGGCACTTGGTACTAAATGGCTACTGAAGATGTACTTGGAGATGTTCAGACTGTTTTTCTTCTGTATAGTTTGTTTCAATTAGTGAAATGTATATTTCATTTAAGAGATAATATAAACACAAAATAGTTGACAAGATATATTTTTCAAGTTTTATAGTATAAAATGTTTCAGGTACCAACAGTAATCACCCCTACAGAACACACTATTTTCACATCAAGACTTCATTACTCTGAATATTTCCCAACTCAAAATTTTAGCACTTTTAATTATCTTTTAAGAAACTATTTGAAGAAATTGTTTGAAATGACTATTTTCCCAAAATAAATTACCTTACATAAACACATTAAAAAAACAACCTAGAATTATTTTCCATTTTCAAAAGAATAGAACAGATCACCTTGATGTTGAATAGCCACGGCTTCATGGCATCCACTTCAGCCTGTCCTTTGCTGAGGTCATAGACGGCAAGGTACAATGCTCGCTGGGTCATAAAATGGGGGTGAGTGCTGTAGAATTCCTCACGACCTAAATAAACATTGGAGGCTTAGTTTTAGTCTTCTGGCCAGAATCTTTTCTTATCATACCTATCATCCTAGCACTCTGGGAGGCCAAGACTGGAGGATCGCTTGAGCGCTAGAGTTTGAGACCACCCTGAGCAAGAACTAGACCCTGTCTCTACTAAAAACAGAAAAATTAGCCAGACATGGTGGTGGGGGCCTACAGTCCCAACTACTCAGGAGGCTGAGGCAAGAGAATCACCTGAGCCCAGGAATGTGAGGTTGCTGGGAGCTAGGCTAACACCATAGCTCTCTAGGCCAGGAACAGAGAGAGACCATGTGGAAAGGAAAGGAAAAAGGGAAATGGAGACGGGAAGGGAGAATCTATTCTAAAAAACTTTGAGGTGGTGGGAGTAATGCTATTTCTTATTCAGTATTTTACAAAAACAATCAGCAGAAAATCTTTAGAGGGCTATCCTAGGTTTTTACTAGGGATTGGCAACCTTTAGCTTCTGCGCCAGCTAACAACCAAGAAACTGAGCTTCACTCAGCTGTCATCGAATTGAATTGTTCCTAACATTTCCCTCCACGTATTTCTCCACTCTGGTGGCCAGGGTAAAATTAGGAATGAGTAACTGTGGCATAATTCTACATAACCTACCAGCTCTTCGGGGACTGGAACAGAAATCTCAGTTCTTGAATCCCTATTCTAAACAAAAGGTCAAAGTGAATTTAAAAATTCTAGAGAAATAAATACCCGCAAAATCCCACACATTTAAAATGAGGTCTTTCTTCTTTTTCCCTCTTATTTGGATAGGCCAGTCTTTCACGTCGATGCCAACGGTGGCACTTTGCATTCCAAGATCTGATTTCTTGGTTTTCATTAATTGCTGCAATAAGGTGGTTTTACCACTCCCAGTATTTCCCACAATCATAAGTTTCATTCGGTTATAGGGCACAGCCTTTTTTAACCTCTGTTGAAGAAACCTGGTATTTGAAAGATAAAAATAAAATAACAACCTGCTCAATACACTTGAGACTTAGGTAGTTCTTCTTACGCATTAAATACTTTAAAATATAAGATTTGCCAAAATATAGTACGCAAAAGAACGCATAGTACATATCACTAATAACATATATGACTTTCAATGCATCTATTGTGTTAGTGATTGGAGTGCAGTCAATGTTGTTTGGTAGCATTGCCAAATACAAGGGCACGTTACACTATCACCAGAAATAATCAAAATGCCAAAGTGTGTTTGCAATACCGTTAGAATGCAATATATGTATATGGGGGGGATTTCTTTAAATGGTACAAATAAAACCCTAAAAATTACAAAGTATAAAATTTTACAAAGTCCATATGACATAAAACCAAAGTAAGTTTTTAGGTATACTCTTACATTAATGCTGATAATGGAGTCATAGAGACTATATTATATATGTGTATGTATATTTACATTCATATTAAATATGGTATATATGATATATATTATGTATGCTTACATATGCTATTAATATAGAGTTATAAAATTATATTGTTACAGTACAAATAAATACATATAAACTATTACACTATTAGCAAATGTTAATAGGTTGCTATTCCTAATAATGTAAAAATAACTGAAACTAATTAGAAGTGCTTTAGGGGGCTAAACAAAACCACTTTTTAAATAATAGTTAATTTAAAATGTTATCAAAACTATGATGGGTATAGAGAGATATGCTAAACTGTTGCCACAATTTAAAATTAGAGGAACAAACTAAATCACAATTGAATTTTAGGAAATATTGAGTGACCCATTCTTATAAGTCATGGAAATCTGACCAACGTTTCTGATGACACAATGTCATTTTTCTTGATTTATTTATTGATCAAGAATGCACCACTCTTCAACAAAAGTCATTCTTAAAAGAGTAAATCATGCTTACAATATCTAAACTGCTCCAAGACTTCTGTCTTTTCTAAAAATATCAAACCACATGTTAAATTATTTAGTAATATCCTGCCTTGATAATATAATAGCATAATATATTGAAAACTCATTCTACTAAATGTTTCGTAAGAACTGAACCAATTTTTTATATGATCATCTTCTTGAGTTTTGAGAGGGAAAAATCATGGGAAATGATCATGTAAGATCAGGGGTACTCATGTTTAGTACGGAAGGTGACAAATTCTTTTCTTAATTAAGTCAAGGGCAGGAGTTCAGGAAACCAAATCCTTCCTCATAAAATAAGACAAAAAGTTACATATAAATTAAGAGACTTTAGGCAGATGAGAAACTAATGGGAAGAGCTATAAGTGAATTAAAAAACACTTTTGAAATAATAGATTTAAAATGTTATCAAAAATATGGTAGATATAGAGAGAGATATAAACTATGTTAGACTGTTGACACAATTTAAATCATTAATAACTGAACTGCTATTAATGAACCAGGTTCTCTATTAGGTGACAAGAATCCACTAGGGAGTGAACACAGCCACAATCCCCGCCTTGGAATCCACTAGGGAGTGAACACAGCCACAATCCCCGCCTTGGAATCCACTAGGGAGTGAACACAGCCACAATCCCTGCCTTGGAATCCA